ATGGATTGGCTTGTGTGAAAATTTTATGCATAAACGCCTTCGGCGTTTATGCAAATTATCACACAAGCCAATCCATTGATCACTTCATGAATTCGAAAAATAAGACAGTTATTCCTTAAATGTTTTACGGACTATAACGATGATAGGGACAAGTTAACAACTATATTGCATGACAAACTCGTTGATATATTTCTCCATTGTCAGCTTTTTTTCTTCATGTAATAAATATATCTCAATTACCAGCATATAAGCGATACTCAAGAGCATGCATATGCAACGATCGATGTTGGAACTGAGACGGCTAATGACAGATAAGCTGGTGTTACAGGAACTTCAAAAAGCCGTTTAAACCTGCATTTCTTTAAAGTCAATAATTTTGACTGGTCTGCTTTATATCGATTGTAAGATCTTTGATTTTAATTATCCTACAGAATGTTCGACCTACCTGATCATTAAAAGGGCTTACGATGGCTGTGACCGGTTAACAGTGGAATTTGAAAAAAAAAAATACAAAAAAAAAGCTCTAGAATTTCCGTAGCTCTCTGGTTATGCCCTGATCATAGAAATGAGTTGCTTATAAAATGTTTATACAGTGATTTAGATAAACAATAGTTCGTTAGCTTTACCTGTAATGAAGATTTTTCATTTGTTAGCCGTTGTTGTTAAAGAGGTGCATTGTGATGTAAAAGAATTCAGATGTCCGTTTGTAATTAATTTATTAGGATATAAGGATTTTGGACATCTATTTCGATAAAAAATTACGCATGCTGTATATGAGATCTTACGGGCTTCAATTTTAAGGGAGTAAAATGGTTTGTGAGACTGGGGAAATCATTAAATAATTTTAATCAAATTCACAACTAAACAGTTTTAGGCTGTGTGGCCTGTGTGTAAGCCTGACTTACTGATGAGAGAAGTTGATTGAATTCCATGTTTGTGTTCATGCTCGTCACATCATAAGTAATTAATATTGTGTTTGTTGGCAGTGTGAGGCCTTCGATTTCGTTGATCAACTCCGTAGTGTCTTTTATATATTTAAGTTGATTGTTTTTTACAATAGGTACAGAAGAAAGTAATCGAAAAATTCTATATTGTCCTCATTGGGGTATCACACTGCGAGATAAATGGTCTACCAGATAAAATAGAATACACAATAAAGAATAGCCATTACACAATCCTACAGTACTGGTTACTAAATTTAACCCTTGCGTTAAAGGACTGAAAAAAACGTATTCTGAAATATTAGAACACCATTTTTAGAAATCCAGAAATGCAAAACTTTATGTCCGTGGCCCCTGATGAGGCTTCTTAAAAGCTCTACAACTACTTGCATAATTCAAATCAGACCTGGGGTAATGGTAATGTGTAATGGTAATGCATTGTAATCATTAATTTTTTTCAAATTAATGGAGTGTAATGTGTAATGGATCCATCTTTCAATTATAAGTAATTGTGATGTAATGCATTATTTAAAAAAAAATGTCAGTAATGACCAATTACTTTTCAATTACATTTCAATTACATTATGTATATTAGTCTCTTTTTATTTTTGAATCTGAAACAAATAAATATCATTGACAGGTTATTTTTTTACGTATTATGTTAAGAGTTTTTAAATTAAAATCCTATATCCTTCAATTTATTTATATTATTTATTGGTAACTGATAGACAAACTAAATAATTCTTTTAATAGAAAACTTCTTGACAAGACAATTATAAAATCAATTGAAGAGAACCAGAGAAAGATATTAAAAGAAATCATCAGGATTTAAATAAAGATACAAAAAAGTGACATGTATACATGTAACGAGACTTCCAGTGAAATCAAGATACAAATTATATTTTTCTACTTTTTTCCCCTTTTCATTCTGGTAAAATGGACTTGGTAATTTAAAACATGATACCAGTATAATTTATTGTAGACACAAAGAGAAACTTAGGCCAAATATAAATAGACTGATATACTGTCCATCATTCATTTTTGGTAGCTTAAGGCCTCAAAATTCATCCTGTATTTCGGTACTTGTACGAGGGCCGTTCCAAAATTACGCGGACTTGTTGCACAGAAAAAAATATTTGACGACATAATCGGGCAAAATTTTACACATAATATAAAAGAATCTTTACTTATATGGTCTTCAAAATTTCATATCAAAATGTTGTAAATTGGTATCAATTTTGAGTGATTTTTCAGGATGTATCATTAAGTAACGGCGCAGCAAAATCTTCGATGTCACAGGCATTATAAAAAATATGTGATTGAGCTTTCATTTTCTCAATATTTTCCCAAGAGTACCTGTATAGTTTGAGTTACCTTATCTACTTAACATCCAAACACCATTTCCTGTCAATTGCAAGCTTAAAATCTATTAAACAAGTAAAGAATATTCTTTTTTTGTTTTGAAACGAAAAACTACGGGATGAGATATAGCGTGATACTGGTGGCTCCCAATCACGTTCTTTACAGTCCAGATAGAGTTAACTTTTCGTCTATAATCTTCTTCCTGTCCTACCGTATATCCTTTTTACGGAGGTCTAACGGTTTAAAATTTCAATTTGCTATTTGTGGACGAATGTCACGAATAGCCTAGTTTACTACATGTTTTATTATGCATATTTTGGATCTATGTTGCCGATATCTCGAGCATTACACATAATTTAACAAAAGTGCGGTGCGCCGTCAATTCAGGAGACGTCATTTTCACAGTCGTTTTCACGGGAATCGCATCAGAGAAAAATCACTATATTTCTGTTAGTACTTCAAATATTTCGTCAGAAATCTAAATACACAATAATTGAACAATTTAAAGGTACATTTGAGAAAATTGTTGAAAAATATCGCGAATTTTAGAAATTCAATGAGTTCAATTTTTGATTCCGCATGCTTTTGCTTAAAATTTTTTGTTGTGCGCCGTACCTCTCCATCAGCGATATCAATATATCGATAATTTTAGTAGAATTTTTTTAAAATACAGAAATTTTCCCCAAAATTTATTGGAATCTTTAAGATACATATTTCTGTGAAAATTCATATCTATATGACGTCTGTAAGAGTAAATAATAGCACAGTCCGCGTAATTTTTGAACGGCCCTCGTAATTATCAACTTTGCTTGTGTTTGATTTATAGCTTCATTGATTATACCTGTTCAGCTAATTAGAAGTGCTAATTAATTAATGAAGTTTTTAATACATTCTCATATTGTATCTTTTTACATTTATAGCATTATCTGTTAATTAAATATAAGTTTACATAAACATAAAGTAGGAGATATATAGCAGAAAATGTTAATTAATAAATCATTTATAAAATGAAAAAAAACAACGGAGATAACATCAGATATTGAACAAAACAACAATATTGAAAGTGTTCAGATCCACTTTCTTTGTCAACTGTAAATTGGATTGGTAAACTACATGAACATGATACATGAATCCAAAATCCAACTACTGCTATGATTTATAGATCTGAGGGAAAGCATATTAATCAAGCAAAGAGTGTGAAAGTTAATTTATAGATATAAATTGTGTGGTCATACTTTTTGTGTGTTTCTCTTATAAAATGTAATGTGTAATGTAATTTATTACTTTAACAAAGTAATTGTAATTTAATTAATTACTTTACTGAATGAGAATAATGTTAATTGTAATTGTAATGATAAAAATTCCAAAGTAATTGTAATTTAATGCATTGCATTTCAAAGTATTTGACCCCAGGTCTGATTCAAATCATATATTAATCTGCTCTATGCAAAAAACATATCTACTAGAAGTGTGGTTTGGAGTGTCGGGTCCTAATAAATATCTTACAGGTTTTGGATCCACTTCTATTTTTTATTGTACATAAAAGACATTCCTTTAAATGTAAACAATTCAAATATTGATATGTTTGCTGATGATGTTACTTTGTACTCTAATAATCATAATGCAAGATGTTTAGAAAATACACTAAATTCAGCTCTTTGTGAAATTGAGAAATGGTGTGCTCAAATTCAAATGGCATTAAATGTAAAAAAATAAAATGTATGTAAATGGGAACACAGAAAAGAAAATCAAAACCAGAAAATCCAAATTTACAACTTTATGCCTCAGACAAAACATGTGAAATGGTTGAAACTCAAAAAATTCTTGGTGTACAAATTGATGATAAGTTACAGTATGCGAATTATATTGATTCGGTTTGTAAAAGTTTAAATTGTTATTTACTCTTCGAAGGATTAAGAAATGCATCCCTCTTCATACCAGAAAACTATATTACAATGCTTATATTTTACCATCTATTAACTATAAATAATTGTTTGAATGTTTGGGGTAATGCTCCCAAGCAGGACATGGACAGACTATTTAAATTACGAAAAGGGCAGCAAGGATTATTCTTGACCCAAGTCCTGATTCTTCATCTAAACCACTATTTTATTATTATTATTATTATTAATTATCATTATTATTAACACCCTGCAAAGGTGATCCTGAAAGATTGATTGAAAAGGCAACAATTACATGTAGTTATAAATATAAATAACTTGTGTCAGGGCAAACAAATCTGTTCAGCATTATAAAATGGTAAGAAATGAAGATCTCTGACTCGAAAGATTATACCATAAATAAACTCTTCAAATGAATAATCTATGTCTTAAAAACGCCCAAACGTAAGAAAAAAAAATTCCATTCAAAATGGTTTCCCCAGCTAATCCGGAAATATTAAAACAATGATGCTCTCTTTCAATATTTGTACTGTGGTTTCATCAATTTTCGTGGATTTTATAAAAAGGACGTTTTCGAGGATACGTACTTTCGAGGACAAAAGATTTGCTTATTCAAATAAATAGCAAATTTCTTAATTCAATGAACATTTAAATTCGTGGATCTGCTCAATAATTAAATCCTTGAAAATTGGTGTTCAACGAATATTAATGAAACCACAGTATTATGCTTGAGTAAAGGATCTAATATGAATCAATGAAAGAAATCCAACAGTTTTAGAAAAAAGGATGCCTCGGACTATGGTTTGCACAAGAATATACATCTTTACTTCTTTTTTAGTGAACAGTAATCAGCAGGTGTCTCTCGATCATCATAATCAATATCTTCAGCAGCAGAGACATCGGGTTCCTTATATCTTATCCCTGTGTTGAGATTACTGTAGTCAGTCTCCTCCATTGCACTGCTTATGTTTCCATGGGTGTGGTCGTAAGTTTCATCAATGTCGGAATCCTCTTCCTTGTCATGCAGATGATTGTATACGTCATCATTTACGTCATAACTTTTCATCATCGAACTTTTATTTCCATGAAAGGTGCGCGTGTTTTGTGTTACTGAGAAATCATTGGAATTAGCACACTTTGGCATATTTTCAAACTTTCTCTGGAATTAAAAAAATGTTAAATAAAATAGCGTACGTTTGTTTTATTTCATTTATTTTCTGACCAGTTAAACTACGTTTTACGGGATATTTTGCTATGTACGTGAACCTATCACGCCAAAAATTGTCTCATTCATCATATTAGAATCTTTTACAATTATTTCAAGATTATTATATTGTCAAATAGCAGGAAAAGGATGTTTTCAAAAAATATAAAATTGTTACTATATGATTAACATTTATTTAATATTTTATATATTTCTCACCTCACATTGCACGGTAGAAATATTCTGATCTGCATCTCTTTCAGCTTCATAGACGATATTTTAAAAACTGCAGCCTTCGGGTATTGCCTTATCAAAGTAATAAAAATTGTAATTTAATTTCAGACATCATTTCCAGTAAAACGTATCAAAATAAATGCTTATTCACAGAAAGATACTTTGTTGTAATCATTTTTGAAGCCAGAAGTCTTTTTCAAGGCTGTAGCTCTACTGGTTTATACTGATACAAAGGGAGAGAAAATAAGCAGCTGGGACTTGACACTATACAACAACAGTAAATAAAATAATTATCCTTGATTTGCAATACGACTACAACTGTAGAAGTAGTTTTAAATAAAATTTTACAGAATTAACAATAATTATTATAGTTACCATGGCAACATCAATCAACAAAATTAAAACAAAACAAAAAGACAATTATGATCTCGATGTAGTCTACAAACTGTACCTGCATGCCACAGTTCACTTTTAGCAGACTAAAACTGTATTTAGAGTAGCATTTTAGTATTTCACAGAAATTTTATTTTTAGTAACAATGGCAACACTGTTCATCGAAATCATAAACCGATACACATTATTATGTATCTAGGTGTAGTTTACTTGTGAGCCAAGTTATATAAAATCATATCAAAACTTTAGGAGGAGTAGCATTTTGAACGTATTTCACAGAAATTTCTATTTTTAGTAACCACTGCAACACCGTTCATTGCAATCAATAACCGATAAAACCAGAATTATGTATCTGACATAGTTTACTTAACTTGTGTGTCAAGATATATTGAAATCAAATCAAAACTAGGAGGACTAGCATTTTTTTTTAAATGTTAACGAATGGACAGACAGCTGGGCACAGACAGACAGTTAGACGGACAGACGACGTACGCATTCTTATCGCATCCGCACTTAGGTCTCTGACCAGCAGAGTTAATTGAATAAGTTTTATACTTTTTCCAGTCTTATGTTTCTCGTTTCTTTATATTGTAGATGATTATTCCAAGAACACTAAGGACAATGCCTAACATAAGGCCTCCAATAACAGCTCCAACCATCAAACCGACCACTCTATATTGTGCAAGGATAACAATAATTTACTAATATTTTGATTAGCTCTTTCAAATCATTCCAAAGCACGTATTTCTAGTGTTTAACACCATTTGTTTATAAATAAATTTAATTCCTAGGAATGTTTGATCAGAAGCTATAATAAATTTCTAAACAAGGAAACACCAAAAATTTTTCATAACGTTTTTTCGTTGGTGCTGAATTCAGTTAGATCACGAATTCCATTAAAATCTTTCGCTATCATCTGAACATCTTCCAAAAAAATTTAATACTCAGCACACGCTCTGAGAACATTTAATTTTCAACCGAGTCAGGCAGAAACTTTATATAGCATAGATTTAAAAACTATGAATGATGAGTTAATTTATGGAACTGTTGTTTAATATAACATTTTCCTGCGTCGAAATTTTGCATTAGTTTTGGAACGACCGTTCTAGCTGCAGTTTAATCCTCACCCCTTTACATGTATGTAAACCTCATAACATTTATCTCTTAACCAACGAAATAGATCACATACTGTATTTTTGAACAAATTCTCGCACATTTATACTTCCATTTCAAATTTTGATTAAAATAAAATAATTTTAAAAAATCATCATAGAATACTCATAGATGTTCGAGGATGTGTTTTGAATAAATGTCTTTCTTTTATACATGTAGTACACTACTTTATCAAATTGACAAAAATTTACTCATAAATAAAACCAAAGTTTTCTGAAATATTTTTACAAACATAAAAAAAGGAACAAAAAATAATGAATGCACATGTATTTCTACATGCATTTGCATTTATCTTTTTAACTCCAGGGACTGAAATATAATACTGAAATAAATTACAGAAAATTTTTATACCTTTAAGTCCCATGGCACGACCTTCGAATTCTCCATTTTCAGAGTGCACTATAAGCAATTATATATTTATTGAAAATGATCTTTGAGACAAAAAAGGAAAGTTAAGTTGAGGTTTTATCAAAGAAATATATCACTTATGAAGAGTCTACCAATGTGGAATGCTTTTTTTTTTTTTTTATCTAAACACCTTTTTGACTGCATTTCATATACAGATTTTTTAGTGATTATCAACATTTCATTTCCGACATTTTTTGGTTTTCATTTCCGACATTTTTTTGGTTCCATTTCCGAAATTTTTCAAAATAGTACCTATATTAACAGATTTGAAGACCTATGAAAAATTTAAAGGACTACAAATCATTGATAAATCATTGAAATCCAATTTCTAAGTTTTAATAAATTTATCAATGAAACGACCATGAAAATGGAAAATGCAGGCAACTACCTAAATTAAAGGTCGAGTGATTGACTCAATGTTTACTCTGGGCAGATGTAAAGAATAAAAAAAATAAAGTTCTGTGTGGAGCAATATGAAAAATGTGTTATCAACCGGAGCTTTTAAAACTCGATTAGAGTACACCAAGTGTTCTGGACATAAGTTTGTTGCTGTCACTGACATTTATTTTAAAAGTGCTAATTTAATGTGAAAAAGTTGTATGCACAAACTCTTTTACCTAGACTTAGTGCTACATCTATGCATATAATTATTTATAATCAATTAGATTTTAAATATACATTTATAATCAATATTTTGCAATAAATACTTTTAAAATTTCATTTTCATTGACTAGGAAGACATTAAATCGCTGTGCAGGTAAAATTCCGGAAATGAAAACAAAATTATGTCGGAAATGAAATAAAATTTTGTCGGAAATGAAATAAAAAAATATCGGAAATGCTATGCAGATTTCCGGAAATGAAATGCAGCGATCTTTTTAATAAGCAGAAAAATATATTCGAAGTTTTGAAAGATTTTTAGTTGTTTTACATGTTTAGCAATTGTTCCTAACACAACGTAACAAAGGTATTTTGAAATTCATGAGGTATTCATGTCTATAAACTATCAAATCTATGAAAATATCATTATTATTTTTTGCTTACACTTCGTTAAGAAATCATTCAATATGCAAAACTTTTTATTTAAATTTGATTTATACAAATTAGTATAAACTTACACAAACATTTAAAATCATTATACGGTTTATATCCAGGCCCACAGACACATGTGTTCTTCTGACAAATAGAACCAAATACCATGGGACACTGCTCATTTAGTTTGCATGTTCTATTCAATGTCAAATTCCCTTTTAAGTAAGAAAAAGAATACATTGTATGTTCTAACTTGCAAAAAAAAACACGTTTCTTCCCTTAGAGTTCGCCATCACTTGAAGTGTTTAAAACTCCGTGAAATACACCTAAAGAGGCAATCATAGGAACTTTTATCTTGGTATTGACTTTTGAACAGTTATGTTAATAGCTTTCATATTTCGTACGTATATTCATTGATAAAAGTTCTCTTTCTGTGGGTAATAACACTTTTTATCTCTTGATTTAGCACTGGAGTTTAACTTTTATTGCAAAACTTTATCTTTTGCCATAAACTGCTAAATTGTGGGTTCCAATTTCACAAACACATATTGATTCAGTTACAATGGAGCATTAAAATCTATACTTTGTCTTTGTTTTATTTTTGCGTAATGCCCAGCGAGTGCTTAAGATATGATTAAAAATGCAATGTCAAGCCAGACAATTTGCCCTAATTAATTCATTGTAAATGAAGTACATGTAATCTGCATTTCGATTAATAAGACTGAAATTTGGTAAGATCTACAGGGATTAATATTTCTCATTTTTAGTAAATCTTATTGTGGCTCAAAAGTTGCAGGCACAAAACTTTTTGAATCGTAACTATGTCGGGAAATTTTCTGTGTGGAGGAAAAGCCAAAGTACAACAACTCATGGAAAACCCTGAGTGTAAAAAAATATAAAAAACTGTTTTGTTGATCATGTTGATTATTATTCCGAAAAATTCCCTTCTTTTTAAATAACAAATATTACATGCTTTTTACTATTTACTATTTACCCTGCAAACATTCGTTCCCTAATCCGTATATGCAGGATTGCACACACAGACACCGATCTGTCCTTTCAAGGAACATGTCTTGGTTTCATCTTCGCACTTTTTAATTGATGTAACATAAGTCGTTTGAGTCGTCTACTGCTAACAAGAAAATGACAATTAGGCTCAAGGACCTAAACAGTCTTATTTATAGTTTCTGAACCACATGCAGTTTATTCAGGTTCACCTTTGTCAAAATCTGATCTGCAAATAATTTTCAAATTTCTTCTAGTTGTATACGAAGAAGTACAGCTTGTGTTGATTATCGTCAAATTCTCACTTAAACCATTGAATCTAAGTGTAAATGAATTCAGCTGATAGTGGAGTGTGTAATAAGATTGGTGATAATGACTCCATGCCTCATTTTCTATGTTGCTGATTTTTACTTGACATTTTTTAGGAACAATCGCCGGTTTCTGTAAGAGCAAGAGAAAAAAAGTAATCTACATGCAATTTCAAAACATAAATCAGTAAAAATAAATAATTCTTTTTTAAAGTTTGACATAGTTTCTTATGATTGATATTGACTGTTTTTGCGCAACATGATAAACAATCACGACATTTTCTCATTATTTATATCTTTTTAAGTAAATAAAAATTAATCGACTGATTTCCTAACCTAAAATAACCATGATAACATGGTTAAAATCTTTGACTTGTTAAATTTTGTGCAAGCCTCCCTTTCGTTATCTTTACATTTTAAAAGAAACTAGCTTCTAAATAATTATTGAGCAACTTTTAAATTAATTTGACCTTTCTGGCATATATTAATCTACATAAAATGAGTTTTAACTTTAAATTTCTTTCATTTATCTTTATGAGGGTTGTCCGGTAAAATCGTGGAAAATTTGTCTAGATGAAAAATAACTATTACTTTGCTTTAAAATGTTCACTATAGCTACTCTTTAGTAGAAATTTTATCAATAAATCTAGCAGATTTCGAATGAAGAATTTTTTTTAATAAACACTAATGAGATAAGACATTGTTTTGTAT